TTTTGGGTGTTTAAGACCATACAGTTGACCCAAATAAATCAATTTATTTTTACACTTAAGGTCATTTAAGGATCTGTTCCTCAGGGGTCACATGGGCTTGGGAGGAGCTCCTGGCTCCTTTCTTTTACCAGTTCCATCTATGTGAAGATAAGTCAAAGGTCCTGTTTGACCATTTCTGGCTTCACTTGGAAGCATGGATGAGGTGTTTCCTCTTAAGTTGACCCTCCTCTTTGAAGACTGGACACTGCTTCAAGTCCATCTCATGGGGTCTCCATGTCCTCCCTGAACAAGAGGACAGGTGACTCACCACATTTACAGGACATTTTGAGAGATGTTCCATAGTCCACTGGAACTTGGTCAACCTTGGAGGGCAAGGGGAAAAAAACCATCCTTTAAAGTCCCTCTGACCACATTAGTATAGGTGTTAAAGTATGGCTGTTAAACATCCAATAAGGTTAGTTCCACCAGTCTGATACTTTTAATTATCATGTGTTATGTAGATAAGGCTTAGGTAAAGAACCAAATATTCTCAGATAAACATTGACTAGGTTTGTATTTTGTTCCTTAAACTAGTTAACTAAACCATGACCATAGACATTTTAAGATTATGTGTATATTATTTTTGTCTCATCCTTTATATATAACAAACCTAAACAGACCTTCATCACTTGCTTAGGCTTTCTCATTTTTTTCTATTTTGGAAAATATCTCCATTCCCATATCCTCTTAACATCTTTTACATTCTCATTTTCTGTCTTTTTCTTTTTAAAAAAAATACTTATGAGACATAATATCATTAACAAGCAAATTTCCTATCAGTTGTGAAACTTCTTTTCCTGGGGATGCTAAGCAATACTTATTCCCTTTTCAGGATCTAGTGGCAAGCCAATGTTTGATTAAAATTTTACTGGGAAACCAATGAATTTATTGAGCTTACTGAGATAACTGAGGGGTTGCTGAGGTGTATGTATGACCTGAGGGTGTGCACACTGGGAAGCCTTTATCTAGCATGGGTCATGTCTTCTCTTCCTAGCCTTCTGCAGATCTTATCCTTTAGCCCTCCCCAAATCCTGGAGCCCATGTGTGATTAAAGTCAAATTACATAGAGTTGGCTGGGAAGACTGGCTGGATACTCCAGTAAGGGTCCAGTGACACTGCTTGGCCCTCCTTTAATGAATGAGCACAACTGTCAACAAGCCCAGTTGTGACTAAGTTTAGCGATCAGGCTCAGATGAAGACATGATGATGGTAGTTATTTCATGCAGAAGGGAGTGCTATATAGCATCATCTTATTAAAAGCACCTGGAATTTAAAAGGATTTGGTGCTAGGACCCACATGTAAGGGAGAACATATGTTGTTTGTTTTTTGGGGTCTGTGTTACTTCACTTAGTATAACAGTTTCTAGATCCATCCATTTACCTGCAAATTCCATTATTTCATCTTTCTCTACCACTGAGTAGAACTCCCTTGTGTAAATGTACCACATTTTCATTATCCAGTCATCAGTTGAGGGACAGTTGAAATATATCTTCATCTCTTAGCTATTGTGAAAAGAGCAGCAACAAACCTGATTGTACAAGTGTCTCTACAATAGGATGAGTCCTTTGGGTATATGCCAAGGAGTGGTATAACCAGGTCATATGGTAGGTTCATTTTTAGTGTGTTTTTTTGTTCTTTTTGAGACAGGGTATCCATACAGCCCCAGCTGTCCTGGAACTCACTATGTAGACCAGGTTGGCCTTTAACTCACTGAGATCCACCTGCCTCTGCCTCCCTAGTGCTGGGATTAAAGGTGTGCACCAACACGCCCTGCCATTTTTAATTTGAGTTCTCCACACTGTTTTCCATAGAGGCTGCATGAGTTTGCAATCTCATCAGCAGTAAATGAGTGTTCCCTTTTCTCCACATCCTCACCAACGCTTGGTATCATTTGTTCTTTTGATCCTAGCCAGTCTGATTGGAGTAAGATAATACCTTAGGGTGCTTTAATTTGCTTTTCCCTAATTACTAACACTGTTGAACGCTTTTTGAGATGTTTCTTAGCCATCTTTATTTCCTCCTTTGAGAACTCATTTTTAGATCTTTAGCCCATCTTTTAATTGGGTCATTTGGTTTCTCGCTTCTTTGTTTTTTCAGTTCTTTATTTATTGTGGATGTTAAACCTCTGTCAGATATGTCACTGGTGAAGATTTTTTTTCCCATTGTGTGGTTTTTTCTCTTCAGATTTTTTATTGTTTCTTTTGCTATACAGAAGCTTTTTAGTTTAATGAGGTACCACTTATTGATTGCTGACCTTAATTACTGAGCAATTTCTGTCTAATTTAGAAAATCCTTTCCTACACCTATATCTTGTACGTTACTACCAATATTTTCTTCTAATAGTTTCAGGGTTTCCTGTTTTACATTGAGGTCTTTGATCCATTTGGAGTTGACTTTTGTACAATGTGAAAGATGATGATCTAGTTTCATTCCTCTACAGGTGAAGATCCAGTTTTGCCAGCAGCATTTGTTGAAGATGCTGTCTTTCCTCCATTGTGTGTTTTTGGCACCTTTGTCAAATATCAGGTGGCTGAAATTGCATGTACTCAGGTTTGGGTCTTCAATAATGTTCCATTAATCTATGTGTCTGTTTTTGTGCCAGTACCATGCTGTTTTTATGACTATGGCTCTGTAGTATACTTTGAGATCTGGTATAGTAATCCCCCCCCAGCATTGCTCTTTGTGTTCAGGGTTACTTTGGCTATCCAGGGTCTTTTGTGCCTCCTATGGATTTAAGGATGGATTTTTCTAATTCTGTGAAGTATGTCATGGGGATTTTGATTGGGATGGTCATTTTCACAATATTAATTCTTCCAATCCATGAGCATGGGAGGTCCTTCCATCTCCTGGTATCTTCCTCAATCTGTTTCTTTAAGGATTTAAATTTTTCATAGTAGAGACCTTTGGTAACTTTCATCAGATTTATTCCAAGATATTTTTTTGCAGCAATTGTGAATGGGAGCATTTCTCTGTATTCTTTCTCCAATTGCTTGTTATTGGTATATAGAAAAGCTATTGATTTCTGTAGATTGATTTTATAACCTGCCACTATACTGAAAGTATTGATCAGTTCTGTGAGTTTTCTGGTGGAACTTTTGGAATCTCTTAGGTGTAGTATGACATCATCTGCAAAAAGTGATAGTGTGACCTCTTCTCTTCCATTTATTACTCCTTTAATTTCCTTCTCCTGTCTTACTGCTCTAGCAAGAGTTTCAAGCCCTTTGTTGAAAAGAAGTGGACATAATGGACCTCCTTGTCTGGTTCCTGATTTTAACGGGAATTCTTCCAGTTTTTCTCTATTTAGAATGACATTGGCTGTGGGTTTATTGTATATAGCTTTAATTATGTTGATGTATGTTCCCTCCAGGCCAATTCCCTCTAGGACTTTGAACATAAATGCATGCTGAATTTTGTCAAAAGCCTTTTCTGAATCTATTGAGATGACAATGTGGTTTTTGTCTGAGTCCGTTTATATGATTAATGATGTTTATTGACTTGTGTATATTGAACCATCCCTCCATCACTGGGATAAAGTCTACTTGATCATGGTGAACAATCTTTTTGATATGTGTCTGTACACTCTTTGCAAGTATTTTGTTGAGAATTTTTGCATCTATGTTCATTAAGTATATGGGTCTATAGTTTTCTTTTTTGGTTGTGTCTTTACCTGGTTTGGGTATTAGAGTGATGCTGGCTTCATAAAGGAATTTGGGAGTTCTCCCTCCATTTCTATCATTTTTGAATAATTCAAGTAGTATTTGTTGGAGGTCTTCTTGAAATGTCTGATAGAATTCTGCTGTAAATCCATCTGGGCCTGGGCTTTTTATAGTTGGGGGGGCTTTGTATTACTGTTTCAATTTTCTTACATGTTATGGGTCTGTTTAAGCTGTTGATCTCTT